TAGGCCTCTTGTTTAATTATTGGATAATCGTGCTGGTCAGCATTATTCTCTCGATTAAACAACAGCCTTGCTGCTATAAAACAATCTTCTACAATGTAACATTAGGAACAGAAAACTTAAGTTCTCTCTACATGTATACAACTTTTAGGTTATTTGATGAAGCCAGAAACTCCCACAAATACACAAGAGGAAATAAAAACTGGGGTTTCCATGACTAAAAGCATCTGGGTTTACCGTTCTTTTTTAAGTATACATCATAACATGCGTCATGATATTTAAATTATTAATAGTATTTATATCTAATCTTTATACAATTAACAATTTTTATTTTGGAACATTCAGTGTACGAAATTTTTACTTTACTTGACGAAGCCAGAATCTCCTACAAATGTGCAAGTGAAAAAAAAACTGGGTTTTTCTTGACCCCAGCTAGCATCTGGGTTTAACATTTTTACGTATTAATCAAAACATTCGTCATGATCATTAAATGTATTATAAATAGCATATCTCATTTGAAGCATTCTCTCTTGAATAATGACAGTTACTCCGCCTTTTCTGGGTCAACGTTTCAAGAGGTTGGCATTAATTATCGTAAAACACAACCTTTCCCCTTAGAAACCCCGCAGACGGTATTCAGTGAATGTGTGTGTGCGTATAAAAAAAATCCAAAGGAGATTTGACAGCAACTATTGACCCACTGCAAGGAAAGACAAAATGGTTTCTCTATTTATAATCGGAATTACTACTTTTTCTGTGTTCTTCTCAGGTAAGATAAAATCGACAATTTTTTCTTAAAATTAGTTATATTTATGCATTCAAACTGAGATGAGACATTCCTTGTTTTGGGTGAGAAGTCTGTGAGTATGGGTGTAAAGTAACATAAAGTCTAGCCTATCTTATTGATCCAAGTTTTCCCGGCGGCAAGTGATCTGCAATCCTCAACGGATAAAATCGCCGCGAACAGAGAACACATATATTGTCGCAAAAAAAACTTACATAAAAAAAGACGTTCTGTACAAGGATTTATCAGAAGGTTAAAAAAAAGAATAGAGCGTATAAAAAATGTAAAACAAGTTGTATAAGAAAGGAAATAAATTGTCTCTAAAACAACAAACGACACGTGCGTTACAATTACTTCTACCGTATAATCCTTATTAACCGCCCGGGGCGCTTAGAAAATTGCAAAAAGGGGGCGCTTGTTTTGATATTCTCTTTATGGTGAAGATAATCCACCCAAATTATGCTAAATTATTCATTTTCCACCGAGATATTGGGTAAAAGACAAGTTTCATTTTCACTTTCTTCAATTTTTTGAAACCATTCTTTTTTATTTTAATCACTGTATTCGTATTTGTGGTAATTTATTCGACCTCCATCTGTCTGACGGAGCGATTCTTTGTAACAACCCATCCCCTGTCAAGAAATTTAGAACAAAATTGAAAGAAAAGTAGGGATAAATAACAATGCAATTTCTTAGTTGTTTTAGTTACTAAAAGCATATTCCTTTTATATTAGATTCTTAATAAAACTTTGCATCTTCAGTACCGATATTCCTTATACTGTGCTTGTATAGCACAATTTGTACTTTGTGATAAACGTTGATAAACACGATAAAGTCACAAAAAATTACCAGGAACAAATTATCAAGGAGAAGGAAATGGACCACCCCCCTTTATTCTAGTTTCAAATAAATTGAAACGGAATTTCCATTTTATGAATAACCATTCCCCGCCCACGTTTTTTTTTTTATATAACGCTTGTCCACGCAGCTAGCCATCGGGTAATGAGCATTTTTTTTTTGTTTTTTTTTTTATATGTACAAACCTTTCTTTGCCTAACTATTCCTCACTTTAAAAAGAACCGAGTCTGACCTCCCTGGTTAATGCCCATCCCTCGTATTTTTATTTATGTGCAATAGATGCTGAAAGACTGGTACTGGTACATGTGCATCCTAAGGGTGTAAACAGTACCATTCAATCTACTGTAAGTTGCATATTTAAATTCCCGTAACCATTTGCAAGGCAAATTGTTTATTTATAGCTCCTGAGAGCGTACGAAGGTCAGTAGTGTGAACCTCATAATAGATCGCCGACCTTCGTTCAATTGTCTACAAAACTCACTTGTGTGGGGCCACAAAGGGCAATGCAAGTTTTACATTCATTAGAAATATAAATGAAAAATCTTTTAAAATCTCTTGCTCGAGAACCACTTGGCCAAAAAAGCTGAAAATTTTATGGAAGCATCCTGGGGTAGAGTAGATTCTATAAAATGATCAAATCATAACCACGAGGATAGGATGTGACCACAAGACCATCCTTAAAAAATTTTTTGTTTGGAATTGCCGCTTGAACAATGCTGAAGGGTTTCAGACACAGGAGGGCGGGAGGAAAAATATTTTTTTTTATTGAAGATAAATTTTAAATTTTTGATAAAAATCTCAGTAAACAGTAAATACATTTTCGGACTTTTAAAAAAAATATATCTACCATCAACAAAAAACCAAATTTTACATAGATCTGACACTATATTTCAGTGTTTTGTATGGTGCATGTGATAAATGTAATTGGCAATAAAAAATAAAATCTTCCTACCTTTGGTCAATAAAATTTTTTCAGGAGGGGGCATTTCAATGAGGCGGTAGGCAATTCCAAACAAATAATAATTTTTACAATGAAATATATATTAAAAAATCTTTAAAAATCTTCTTCTCAGGAATTAACCACTAGAGCAGGAAAGCTGAACGTTTTATGGAAGAATTATGAGGCAGAATAGATGCTAAATTGTTCAAATTATATCCCCTCAGGGGGTGTGGCCACATCAAGAAATTTTTACAGTTAAATAAATAGGAAAAAGTTTTTAAGAATCGATAACTCGATAACTATACTCGGCAATTTAAGGAAGCATCCCGGGGTAGTGTAGATACTAAATTGTTCAGATCATAACCCCCGTGGATAGGGTGTGGTCATAATAGGGAATCCAAGTTTTACATTGAAATGTGTAGGAAAAATCTTTAAAAAAATTTTTTCTCGAGAAAAACTGAAAACAGGCTGGAACTATATAAAAGCATTATGAGGTAGTGTAAATTGCATAAAAATTGAAAATAAAGTGGCTTGAAAAATACGAATTACAAGGGGGATATCTGGTGACCGATACATTTGACCTCTTGACACTTTCATGCTTCATTTTACCTTCACAATAACTTTTAAACGGTTTGTGCTAAGGACTTCATACTTTTGCTTATAGCATTAATTGTGACAAGACCTTTCCATGGATTACTTTAAAGTGGCTTGAACCAAACAATAAAAATTCTACAACACAAATTGCGAGAGAATCAGTCTTCCTTTCAGTATGCTTATTATTCATCCCTCTGCACTGCTAGCGTTTTCATCCGTTATCATGCATTATTCATCAGTCATAAGCTCTTGGCCTGTTCATCTTCTTTTCTTGAACTACAGGACCAACTTTTGCTTATAGCATTAATGGATGTCAGGGTAGAGAACATGTAAAAATTCATGGCCGTAGGGATGGGGCTAATATCATGAAAATAAGAACTTTCTTTAAAAATCGTATTCTTTCCCTCGTGAACATAAAACAGTCAAACCGTTGTCAGGTTTATAATGAACATTGAATACTCTGCTAAAATTGTGAAATTCATGGACCTTTGGCGGATGTTCAAGATTTAGGCTGGGGACCTAATATAGTGAAACGCGAGAATTATTTAGTCTTCCTTCTTAGCAGATAATTTAGGTGCTTTTTAAATAAATTCTGGAATTGCTCCATGTCATTAAAAAAGCTAAATGCAGGTTCTCATGGTGCATCTTAAAATAAACCACGAAAATTTGATCCAACGAAAATAAGTGATTTTGCAGTTTTTAATGATGGTATTTCTGTCATTATACGGAAAAAATTCTTTTTCAGGAGTGTCTTCAGAATGTAACATAGGAGAGATGTCCAAATGTTTTGCGGGGGTTGATATGTCAAATATGGGATCATTGGATTCATTGTCAGCTCAAGATTTACAGGCCTTGTGCGCGTGAGTAGTTGTGTATTTTGACTTACATTTCTTACTACTTAGACTCAGAAGGGACAATTTAAAAAATACCCGGTGTATTGGAAGAACTTATTTATAAATTCGGGAATTTGAATGTCATTAAATATTGCCGATACAACATGGTTTTAAAACTGGGACTACAGGGGGTACTAACCGGTGTTCCTAACATATTCAGAATACTTTTCCACAATAAACCTTACCTTATAATTGTTTTTATATATCTTCCTGTCCTGAAATGAAAACATCTGATGACCTTTTTATTTTCTTTTTCCGGTTTTCAAAAGGAATTTTTGTAGTTGATAGTACCCCATGTAAACTGAAAAATGTTGATAGAGGGGTAAGGATTTTATTGAAATTGCTTCCTACAATTGAGGTAACAATTTGGAAGAATAAAAAACAAGAGTGTGCAATAAATGTACAATTTTTTCCATGGGTGGCACTGTAGCTACCGGTCTATTTGTATATATTTTTCGGCCAGCTAAAGTCACTAGCTATTACTAAACCTGCAAATTGACTCTTTATAATTGAGAATTTCAATAATAAATTACTTTTGAAACTATTTTCAGCTCTTCTGAACAAAGGCTCAAAGGTTTTATAAGGACATTTGTGTGGTGTGCCGTGTGCTTCAACATTTTGAATTTGGGCCATAATTCAAAAACCTATTAACCAGTTTCTGTCAAAGTCACAAGATATTTTGGTCTAAGGGCTCTCTTTTATACCAGAAACAGGGGTATGACCTTTAAAGAAATGGAGATAATTAAGGAAATCATATATCAAAAGTACTGTTTACTAAGGAAAGATCTCCTCAAGAACCACTGGGCAGATTATCACCAAACTTACGTAAAGGTTAAAAATTGTTTAATGTTTTAAGTATCAAATGTGGAATTTTTGTTGATAAAACATTTTTTTCAACGCAAATAATATTCGCATTAAAGATAACTCTTGCTGACATGTATTCTTTTCTTACAACTTCATATAACATTGTGAAATTCCGACTTAGAAAGCAGCGCTTTACTTATGAATTTCATATGCATGGCACTAAGTAATTTTTTCATATACACTTTATATTTTTGATTTTTTCTTGTGATAAATCCTACTTTTTCTATCCTCTGTGTTAAAATTTCTTCATATAATGATCAGATATAAAAACCATTTCTTAAATAAATACAGCACTTCATACCTCATACCTCTGACGCTATAATAGCATTTGATGAAATGTTGGGAAGTTTTAAAAAAAATTGACAATTAAAGCAGTGGGTTTTTAGTCCTTAAGGTCACTTCAAAGTTGCCAAAAATTATGTGTTCTCAAAACTTTGATATTGTGCTTTCTATAAGGCTGAGGATGCTTAGTTGATGCATCTGATGACCAAGTATCATTTGACATAAAAAGGTTCCGGTGACCTACTTTATGAATTTTTAAATTCATTGTATTAATTTTCAGGTTGGTTTTTGAATCTCTTCAATATTTTGAAGCCTTTGATCACCAATTCTTTTCAGTTTATGCATTTTGGGGCTTTGACACGTGCTCATTAAAAAGTAAGTCACCGTGACCTACTTTCTGAGATTATTATTTTCAGAATCTATAAGAGGTTAATAATCATCAAATCTTATTGTTAATAAGTAAATTGATGCATCTTGAGACTTTAAAGCATATTTCTTAAAAGGTAGGTCACAATGTCCTACTTTTATAATTTCATTCATTTTCAAATTGTTTTAAAATATATTTTTGACATTTTGAAGCATGTAATTATCAAACCTTCTCAAGTGATGCATTTGAAAGCCTCAAATAATTTCAATCAAATAGTAATTCACAGTGACTTTCTTTTGGAATTGTTGGCTTTATTGAAATATTTCCAGACGCTAATTATCGTATGTACGTTTGGGATTTCGTGGTTATACTTAAATATATCAGGGTTATATGCTTTTGGAAAATCCGTATAGCATATCTTTATAAAAAACCACCACACACACACGGAAACAAAAATGGATTGGTTTACACTGCCAGGAATACGATACTTAATAGTTTAATTATGATAGATATTTAAATTTCATAAATATTATACTTTACAGATCGATTAGAGGGGTGAAAAGCTGTATTGAGCCATACAAAAGTACCTGCGCATCAGATTCAACCTTTCAGTCGATGATGAGCGGTATATCTATGGCTGATAGTTATTGCGGTAACTACTTATTAGTCTTTTTCTGACGTTTGAATGAAATATAAGCAAATTAATTCAAAGAACCTACACTTTTCGTCATATTGATGGACATGCATTAATTAATGGCCTATTCTTACTCTCTTTTCTGTTTGTCCTGTTTGTCTGTTCATATAAAAAAAAATTAATTAATTAAAGTTAAGACCAAGCTGATTTTTTTTTTTTGAAAAATGCATCAGATATTAAGGTGAGTCCATGAGTTTAAATAGATAAATTCCTCCGAAAGATCTTGTTATAAGTAATTCATATGAAAAAAAGTGAAATCCTTGTCTGTTCTAGTCGAAAATCTCGACCACAGTTAAATTTTGAACTAAGAAGTTCAGAACACTTTTTAAAAAAATGTCTCAAGTAATGCACGCATAATTTAAGATAATTTTTTAAAATTTCTAATTCAAAAGTTATTGCTAATGTTAATTTTTAATAAGTAATTAAAACTTAAATATCAAGGTCATGAGGTTAAAATTTTACTACATAAAAGAAAAGTCTTGTCAAATACATGTTAAGTATATTTGAAATATAAAGTTTTCATCCTCTCTCACTCAATGAATTTTGATTATTGTTAATTTTCTTTAAAAGTAAATCTTATCACGAGCAAAGTGCATGTAAAATATGAAAGCCATGTTTTTGTTCCTTAAAAAGTTATGACCATGCTTAAACATTTAGTGACAGACAGACAAATGAATGAGATTTAATGTCCCCTCTCTTTCACAAAACTGGAACAACAAAAATTTTCACTTTAAAAAGGGGAACAAATTTAAGGTTTGTTTAAATTTCAGCAGATTTTCATCTTAAAAATAATTTACTTTTACGATCGCTGTTACATGTATTGATCGGCACTAATTTAACGCTTTCTGAAATGCAATTAAAAATCAACTTCTGAAAAATACTTAGTTAAAATTTTAGCTAATATCCACATTTTAGCACAATGAAATAAAATAAGAAAATCCGAAATAGAGATGAGAGGTTACGAAATTTCATTTTGTAGGAGATTCTGGCTGCAATTTATTGAAATGCTACTCTGATGCCGGAATAAAAATGGATAATGATGGAGGTGACTCACCACCAAACATAAGCTGGTAAACTTCTTTAATCCAATATGTTTATTGTATACTCTGTATTTATTCAGGCCTCAAGACCATAAATTGAGAATATAATTTGGTCAATATTTCAGATCTGTGTATTTTTTGAAATAAATTGTCAAAGGGAAAACAAATTTCAAGTTATGTTTGAATCAAAATATTTAACAAACAAGTTTTTAAGCATGATCCTTAAACAATAATGAAAATATTCAAAATATATAAATTTTGACTGAAGTCTGTTCTCAGATTATTGTCTTGGAGCCAGGTAAAGTTAACAACTTATGTAATGTAATTGTTTTTTCATTTGTTGATTGTAATCATTTGTCTTACAAGAAACAGCTTTTTAAAAAGCTTGCCTGACTAAATCAATCAATTTATCTGCATGAAGAGTGATAACCCTTTTGAGCAATACTTTGTGGGTTTAAAAAAATATCCTAACTTTATATTTTGAGAACCTTGATTTTACCGAACTTGTAGAAGAATCATCTCTACAGTGCATACTAAAGAACTTTGTAGTTGAAAGGGGTGGGGTGGGGTCTGCAAGTGGAGTGATCTGCCCTTGGATCTAAATTGATTTCAAGCTACATTGTAACACCTATTATAAAACCTGTTATCAAACGCATTGTGAACATTTTAAAAGATGGATATAATTAAAAACACATTTTGTTGGAGTGTATTTTTTCCTCAAAAGTAAACAGTAGTAATATGTGTGTTCATTATATTTTTTCTTAAAAGGGGAGGGGGTGACACTATCACATATTACATGATATATTGAGAATGAAATAAGTAAATTCAATAGTTAGGCTTTGTAGAAAGAAATATCCAAGATTATTCACTACTTTCTTATTATATCGTGTGCATCTGAACAAAGACATATAATAGATCATGCATCTGGAGACGATGGCTTGAACTGCGTTGTTTATTATTATTGGACTCGATCGTCCAACCGCGGATCGGTAAACAAATTAGAAACATCATTGCTTTAGTGTCACATGTACATATACCATGTATACTGATGTATACGGTATGTTGTTTTAAAGAATGGTATAAAACTTGAAGATAGAATTTCTGAAGCATTAGAAGGAAGTTAAAAGGACAAACTTTATTTAATTCCATGGAAGTTAGCACACCCATTCATACAATAGAACAATCCAAGGAAAAGGCGCAAAGATAGCTTAGTAATGACACCTGGCGCGAAAAGAGCGATTCACCCCTTTCGTAGAATATAAATGGACTGTTCCAGTAGTATAGAAATGCAGAAAAAAGGATACACGGACATGTTGAAACGGCAAATCATATGGAATAATCTGTTCCATGCAAAAAGATTAAAGGAAGTAAACACTGCAGTATTCTGCATCAGTAATATCTTTCTTTTTTCTGAAAACTGTTTCTTTTAAAATGCAGGTAAAGAATTCCAATGTAAATCAGCTTGCACGAAATCTAGCTCTTTAGATATGGTCGCACATTTTCGGATCTTGGAAATATCAATCCTTATACTGCCTGACGCCGTGACGTCAGGCAATAAACCCATTGTAGCCGAAGACTAAAGAAAGCTTTTCTAATTAAAGTTTTTCCTTTGTTTTTGTATTATTTTTCTATATTCTTGCTTTCTTCTTCATATCCACTGGACCAATTTTTAACAAACTTGCTACAGAAGGAAAATTAAAGTCATGATGAGTAATACCAGTATTATTGATATAGTAACATTTTTTAAATGTTTAAACAATTTTGTTCAATTCTTGACCCCTTCGGTTAGGAGTGGGCCACATACATGTAAGGCAATTAATGTTTTGTTAATATTGAAGTGCATTGAAAAAACAGCAAATTAAAGCCAAGATAAGTCACATTCCCATGAAAGCAAGTTTGTTCAAACTTTCTTTTAGGATTAGGGTGAAACCACTTATTATATATTTAAACTGAGTGATTTTATGTTGAAATTCATTTCAGTGGGGTATATAGGACATTCAAAACCTGTGTAGAAAGCCAGGAAAAGGGCTGTCAGCAGAACCCAGCTTACTCTGATCTTCAGAATGCTCTGAAGCAAACGGAAAAAGAGTGTGGCTCATCAGGTAAAATTACAAAAAAAATAATAAGGAAATACCTCTTTAAGCTGCATGTTGTGTTAAGGCAGGCATTAGATTCAGGACATACGCAACATATCTTACCTACCGATAATTTTTCAAGATATTCCTATTTAAAGATTATAGTGCCATGAGATGTTCGTAGACAAAAAAAATCAGCATATATTACCAGAGGTTTTGAAAAGATATCAGTTGATGAAAATTCTTGTATAATTCAAAGAAAAATATACAAAAAATACTAAGCGTATATTCTAGATGTTTTGTTTATGCAAAATTGTTTTATAAGAAGTGTACAACAGTATATATAGATTTAAATGTAGCACACACTTCCGTTTTAAGTATTGGAACTCTTCAACTCCAAGGAAAAAGACGATAAAGCTCAAACTACATTGCGTATATACTTAATTAATTTATTTATGTTGCAATTTTGCTCTTTTCCTTTTTTGTTCACCCGAGCAGAAACCTCAAGTGCGCTTTTCTGATCATCTGTCCAACTGTCCATCTGTAAATTTTACACATTTTTAACTTCTCAAGAACGACTCGGCCAACTTATACAAAAGTAGGTACAAAGCATCCTTGGGTAAAAGGAAGTTTAAATTGTTAAAATAAATGATCAAGCCCCTTTCAAAGGGAGATAATTTAGAAAATACAATAATCAGGTGGGATCAATAACAAGAGGCCCATGGGCCACATCGCTCACCTGAGCACTGTGGCGAGGAAAAAGTAGAAATTGGTTTATTATTGAAAAGTTTAAATTCAAAAGTAGTCCCATTACCAATCATGGCTTTGCTATTCTTGAGAATATTTTTTAAAAAAATTTTCCTGTATATTTCTATGCAAAAAAATTTGGTTGGCCATTGTGGCCCGGCCTTACCCCTCAGGGTCATGATTTGAACAAACTTGAATCTACACTACCTGAGGATGCTTCCATATAAATATGATCAATTATGGCTTTGCAATTTTTGAGAAGAAAATTAAAAAAAAAAATTCCTATATATTTCTATGTAAAACTTTGGCTGGACATTTTTGCCCCGCCACTACCCCCGGGGGTCATGATTTGAACAAACTTGAATCTACACTACCTGAGGATGCTTCCATATAAGTTTCATCTTTCCTGGCACAGTGGTTCTTGAGAAGAAGATTTTTAAAGAATTTTCCTATATCTTTCTTTGTAAAACTTTGGTCGGCCATTGTGGCCCGCCCTACCCCCGGGGGTCATGATTTGAACAAACTTGAATCTACACTACCTGAGGATGCGTCAATATAAGTTTCATCTTTCCTGGCACGTTGGTTCTTGAGTAGAAGATTTTTAAAGATTTGTTCTATATATTTCTATGTAAAACTTTGGATTTCCTATTGTGGCCCCGCCCTACCCCGGGGTCATGATTTGAACAAACCTGAATCTACACTACCTGAGGATGCTTCCATATAAGTTTCAGCTTTCCTGGCACAGTGGTTCTTAGAAGAAGGTTTTTAAGAATTTTCCTATATATTTCTATGTAAAACTTTGGTCGGCCATTATGGCCCCGCCCTACCCCCCAGGGTCATGATTTGAACAAATTTGAATCTACACTACCTGAGGAAACTTCCATATAAGTTTCAGCTTTCCTGGCACAGTGGTTCTTGAGGAGTAGATTTTTAAAGAATTTGCCTATATATTTCTATGTAAAACTTTGGTCGGCCATTGTGGCCCTCCCCCCGCCAGGGGTCATGATTTGAACAAACTTGAATCTACACTACCTGAGGATGCTTCCATATATGATTCAGCTTTCCTGGCACAGTGGTTCTTGAGAAGAGGATTTTTTAAACATGCCACCAAATTTTTAGCTCATCTGAGCCGAAGGCTCAAGTGAGCTTTTCTGATCAAAATTTGTCCGTCGTCTGTCGTTGTTGTCGTTGTCGTCGTAGTCGTTGTCGTTGTTGTAAACTTTTCACATTTTCATCTTCTTCTCAAGAACCACTGGGCCAATTTCAACCAAACTTGGCACAAAGTATCCTTGGGTAAAGGGGATTCAAGTTTATTCAAATGAAGGGCCACGCCCTTTTCCAAGGGGAGATAATCATGAATTTGTTAAAAATTAATAGCATTTTTAAAAAATCTTCTTCTCCAGAACCGCTGGGCCAGGAAAGATGAAACTCATGTGGAATCATCCTCAGGAAGTGTAGATTCAAGTTTGTTCAAATCATGACCCCCGGGGCAAGGGTGGGGCCAAAATGGCCGACCCAAGTTTTACATAGGAATATATAAGAAAAATGTTTTAAAATCTTCTTCTCCAGAACCACTGGGCCAGGAAAGATGAAACTCATGTGGAATCATCCTCAGGAAGTGTAGATTCAAGTTTGTTCAAATCATGACCCAGGGCAAGGGTGGGGCCAAAATGGCCGACCCAAGTTTTACATAGGAATATATAGAAAAAATCTTTAAAAATCTTCTACTCCAGAACCACTGGGCCAGGAAAGATGAAACTCATGTGGAATCATCCTTAGGTAGTGTAGATTCAAGTTTGTTCAAATCACGAGCCCCGGGGCAAGGATGGGGCCAAAATGGCCGACCCAAGTTTTACATAGGAATATATAGGAAATATCTTTAAAAATCCTTCTCAATTACCACTGGGCCAGGAAAGATGAAACTCATGTGGAATCATCCTCAGGTAGTGTAGATTCAAGTTTTTTCAAATCATGACCCCCGGCCCTGGGGATAGGGTGGGGCCAAAATGGCCGACCCAAGTTTTACATAGGGATATATATAGGGAAACCTTTTAAAATCTTCTTTTCAAGTACTTCAAAGCTATGATTAGTGATACCTGGGGTATTTATATGGAATCATCCTCAGGTAGTGTAGATTCTAGTTTGTTCAAATGATGAACGCCTGGAAGGGGGGAGGGGAGTAAATTCAAGCCCGATGTGCTCAGGTGAGCGCTGTGGCCCCTGGGCCTCTTGTTATTAATTCCCAATTATCTCCCCATGAGGGCGTGGCCCTTCATTTGAACAAAACTGAATCCCCTTCACCCAAGGGTGCTTTGTGGCAAGTTTGGTTGAAATTGGCCCAGTGGTTCTTGAGAAGAAGTCGAAAATGTGAAAAGTTTACAGACAGACAGACGGACTACAGAACAAAATGTGATCAGAAAAGCTCACTTGAGCCTTCGGCTCAGGGCGAGCTAAAAGTCTTCTTCTCAAGAACCACTGGGCCAGAAAAGCTTAATTAAAAGTTACGTGAAAGCTTTCAGACTGAGGTAGTTAAAATTCTAAAATTTTCATATTATGATCCCCGGGGTAGGGTGGCTACAATAAAGAATGAAGGTTTTACATTGAAATGTAAAGGAAAAACCTTTAAAAATATTTTTTTTCAAGACCCACTGTGTCAGAAGAAGTGAAACTCGTGTGAGAGCTTCTTAGGGTCGTGTGAATTTTTTTTTTTTTTCAAATCTTGCTACCTGATGGTAGAAATGGTCTATGATAAGGAAAAAAATGTTTTACCTAAGATTCGAAAACTTCGTACATGAAAGGTTGTTTAGATTATAAATTGTTCAAATCATGTCCCCTGGTGGTACAACGGAGCTAGAATAGGGAATCAAAATATTACACGTTTCCTCTTGTAGGTGGCAGACTCTCAGCTACCCCGGCCTTATGGATGGTTTTCTCAGCCGCAATGATGGTGTTAGCGGCCATTTTTCCATAAACCAACAATTTAGGTACTCATTGCTTAGTAGACATCATTCATTCCAGGTGTGAATTATTGGAAACAACAGAAAGGAGACAAGATCAAAATTTTATCCAGAGTTATGCGCCTTCATTGCTAAGTGACTTATTTTTCGAAAATACATGTGTGATTTTTATTTTATTGG